GCAGCCGACAGCGCAAACCGCTCTTGGCAGATCTTCCCTCCACGCGGCCGGGCCAATGTCGAGGCCTTTTTACTGCGAGCTTTGGGCCCGAGCTAGCTGCCTCTTTCAATCGACGTGTGCGTGCCTATCCAGTTGCCAGGAAACGCGTCGCCGCGCAAAGCAAACAAAACAGAATGAAACGCAGAAGCAAACAAGAACAGGGTCAAAAAGAAAAAAAAAACGAAATAAAACGGAACTCGGAAGAGCAGCGCCTCTGCACGTCGCTAGCGTTGCCAGCGTCATTCGTCGGACAGCGCGCGCTCTCGGTGGCGTCGACGGAAGCGAAGACTAACAGGGAAGCCGCCCTCAGAGCTGCCAGGGGGTGGTGGCTCGGCATAACGACCACAAGCAACGTCGCAGTAGCGAGGGGGCGACCCGTGTCGTATAGTGCGGCACGAGAACAGCAGAGCTGCGGTAGAGTCTGGTTTGGACTTTTTCGAAGTTTTTTGCCTCATTTATAAATGAAGTTGGGAAAGGAGGCGGCACGTGCGTGTGCAGAAATTGCGGCTCGCGAATTTAAATTGGCGTCGTCGTCGCGAGCGTTTCGTTACATCGTTCGCTTCTCGTTGAAACGCGCCCGCAACTCACGCTTCGCCGCTTCTGCCACGCTCGCGACGAACGCGTTCGTGTCTCGATGTCGCCGAATCCAAATGATAAAAATGCCGAGCTTGCGTGAGGGAACTATGCCGCGGATGCGCATTTCAGTCGTCTGTCATTTTCGGGGATCTTTCCTGGTGTGTTTTTTTTTTTTTCGAGTTCTCCACTCACTGCGGGAAATAACGCCTCCTTCGTGCCCAGTGTGACGCCTAATGAATAAAGGATGTATTCCTTTTCTTTTTGAGCTGATTTTTTCTTTGATATTTATTCTACTCCGAGCCGTTTGCTGATTCGCTCGTGCTCAACCTATTTCGCAAAGCGCCGAAAGCCAAGTGAGCAGCGGCCTTTCTCCTTGAAGGGTATATGTCGAAATACCTCTGAAGGACCCGTTCTTTTGCCTGTTCGTTTTTAGCCACGTGTATCCAGCGCATAATATAGAGCGTTTGGGAGTGCACAGCTCATGTCTGGTTTTCAGGGTGAACCGGAAGGTCCTAACCTTTATGAATTCCTGACGAATATGATGAAAAACGATTTCTTGACAAGCTAGATACAGATTGAATAAATGGGCCAAAAAAAATCTTTATTTCGCACGTGAGGGCTATTTATCAAAATGACTCGGTTACCGCATGTTTCGCAATGGTGTATCAGACCTTGACCTTTTCCATTTATCCTTTCGTGTTTGCGTAGCCTCTGCGGTGAGGGTGTTTGTTGTTATTTGAAGTATAGGTGTAAGTCTGCACCCGTACTGTGTCTTGTACTTTCACTGTTCTCGTTGTTTGCTCTGCTTGACAATGTTTGTACGTTTGTTTTCAGTGTAGAACCATACAGGCCTAGAGCAAAGTTTCATTACAAGCGTCAGCGATTCAATAAGACACAGAGTAAATTTGGATGGTGTTAGTGTGAAATAAATTTTCAAAACTCTTCTTGCATTTATGTTGCCCTGTGCTCTCCAGGATGCGTGGTGGCTTATATGTTAGACGTTTTTATACTCGACAGCACGAGTTTGATTTCAAGCCAGGGCGTCCGCAGTTGGAGAGGGACGAAATGTGAGAACAGCTGTGTACTTGTGTGTTGCGCCCTAAAGGAACTATGGCTGACAAGATTATTTTGTAGTCCTCCACAAGGTCTCGTCTGGTAATTATATCGTCCTTATGGCATGTAAATTTGAAGCGTGAAGTCGTTAAAATGTATGCGCTCAGCTTGGCGAGTTCCGCAACACTTACTCATCCATGAAACATCAGTGTACGCCCACAGGTTGTGCAAAACAATCCAAATATTTTGGAGGTCTCTGTATTCGTAGCATCACCAACATAAAACACAACGTCACGAATGAAAATTGAAATAAACTAGAAAATAGTTGCTTGAAAAAAAAAAGGCGCTATTAAGAAGATTTGTCTACACGAAACCGCTTAAGAATCCAAGAAACATGTGTGGAAGTTATTTCGCCCATAAACTAGCTTGATTGTTTTGTTTCAAATGCTTCGAATGTTAGCAGCCATTCAAACATTTACTAATATTGTTCTTTCTCAAAATGCGCTCAAAATCAATAAATACGAAGATCAAGCCTTATTTGGTTAACATGACAGAGACATACATATGAGCTGACGTAAATTCTTACTCAGTACTCAAGGGCATAACGTGTTGACGTTCACTGGCTCTTAATATTTTATTCTTTCTTTATTTATGTAGAATGTTGGCCATTCTAAACATTGGTTGCCCCTTTTGCAATGTACTTTCCGCAAACGCTAAATTTTACGACACTAATGCGCCATCGTTTATTACTGCGGCAGCATGCGCGTTTAGAAAACATTGTTTCAGTCTGAAAACAATGACGTATTTATACCATTTCATCTGAAAGAAATTTTCACTTGTTACTGCGCCAGTAAACTTTAGAGCCAACGTTTTCACAACACGTGGTTGTTTACGTGAAAGAAAGGAACTTAAATAAATGAAGGAATGTTTCACATAAAACAGCTCATGCTTCTATTTTTTAAGTAATAACAGGTTCTCTAGTTGAAACACTTTGTAGTTAGTGACAACTCAAACAAAATGCCATGAAATAAATTGCTTTGATGCACCTGAACATCGAATGTTGCATAAAAGGTATCTGACGAATAAATTATTTGATTAATATAATGTTCAAATTCTATTTGATATCAAGTAGACAATATAAACATTAGATTGAAATACTGCAGCAATCGTGACTTAGACAAAAGTGGTAAATCGAGGAACAAAGACCAGGTGGATCATGCACGAAACTAGAATATATATATATAATTAGTTCCCACTAATTATGTCTGGATTGTTTTTTCAATGTTGCATTCAGTACAACAAGCACACACACGGAAAGTTTTCTTATTTCCCGCAATATGTTATCAAGCGTCTAGCTCCCCAAAGATTCCTTCGCCACAAGTATATTATACAATAGGTGAAGCACGCTTTACAGCACATTTGCGCAAATTACAATGGAGTGAGTGACACAAAGTAAACGCAGTGCGGTCAATCAGATGGAACACTCCTGACAAGATAAAAATACGAAGCGAACGCTTAATAACAACACTGAAATCCACGAAAAAAATTCTGAGGTGGTGCACGTCGATATCATTCCACATCGCACAGGTCTGTATGAAGCATACTGGTGCTGTACTGATGCGATTGAAGTTACGTTCGCGACTTTTGACCGTCAGGTGAAAGCGAAAGGGGAAAAAAACTAATTTTAGAAAAATGCTAGAATTCATTAAATATATTTAGCTACCCTGAGAGAAAAAGTGAAGAAAGTATATTTGCGGAAGAGGAACCAGCAGGCGAAAACAAAACACGATGGATGAATATTCAGAAGCCGAAATAACAAACCTTAAAACTTTAATCGACGACGGAACAAGTAGCTTCAAACATATCTGCCTAGATTATAGGTACTAAAGTGTGGTAACAGCACTCTGTCAATAATTTCTATCACTTTTCAGCACGTGTGGTCTGCTTCATACTAACTGGGATAGGTAGATAAGTGACCATATTGGTAGACAAAATAAGGACAGGCAACTGTGAAAGAAAAAAATCTGCCACCTTGTAGTTTAGCTGTTAATAGCGCTTATGGGAAGCTTGTTAACGAATAATTCATAAACTGGGCAGTACAGTTATTACGCGAAATTAATAAGCAAAGGTGTCATGAATGTATGAGCAGTTTGTTATTTAACATATGTGCACCTGTTAGTTGCTGAAATAGAACTTTTTTCTTTATAATATGCAGCATGACGCTTTCCAAGAATCACCGCAGGTTAATAAAAGTTCATGACACTGAAATATTTAGTTTGAAGACAACAAACGTTGAAGGACTACCTCTACTATCTTGAGCGTTTTCTGTGGTGGAGTATAAAATATGAAATGCAAGTAGAAAGAACGAGAAATACGCGGTGACAAGTTACGTAATAAAGTGCATTTGAGGTTTGGCAGTGCTTATAAAAATGAAATGATAAGTCTGAAGAGAATCATTCTCCCACCTGCTTTTTCTCTAACGAAACAAGCTGATTCGAAATGCAGCGCTGAGTACTTTGAAAATGTCTGTGCAAGTACATTTCTTACATGTGATAGTTAACTGCTACAGTGTTTGACAAGTGTCGTGAAAGCAATGCGTTTTTGGTATATTGTTTGATGCACTGCCAAGAATAGGTGAAAGTAAGGAGCTGTTGATGTACACCGAGTGAATCGAGAGATTGAGTTTAACCGCATAGAAAGGAAGAAGAACGACGCGTAGACACGAATAGCAGGAGCGACGCACTAGATTCTGTAGCAATAATAAGCTAAGTCGCAAGTATACGAGAAAGGGAAAACGACTAAGGGACTTGTACTAATGCAATATGCCCGATGCGCTAATACACCACTGCGTGAATTTTTAGCCTGCCCAGACGAACCAAGTCACCATGAGCCAGTGATTAGAATAAATGGTGCTGATCAATCGCTGCGCCATGACTTTCATACGGCCGCAACTTCGCGAGTCAGAACGGACGATGAGTGTTGACACTCATCATATGAGTTTCATCATCGATGACATATGAGTTTCATTGTTATCAAAACGACTGACACAAGTTCGGATAAAATAACTGACAAATACGCTTGCCTCTGAGAAACACAGCCTTGTGCAACGAGAACATCGCGACATCACGAACCTTCCGACCGGCACTGCGTGTCGGCTGCCACCGCGTGGCGCCTTCTGGGACAATCTCCGTGCGCGGAGACCCATCTGCCTCGCGCTGTACATGCCTTTGGCTTGACCGCAGGTTTCGGGTCTAGTTATGGGTTCAAACTAACACTTCTTGCAAACGCTTCCGCGCAACAACCTCGGGAAAAACGGAGGAGTGCCGGCTCACCGGTCTGTCCCTTGCCGAGCGTCTTCTCTAGCCGGTAGGGTCCGACGTACTGGAAGTGGTGCGAGTCGACCGCTGCCGAGCCTGGCTGCGGCTGAGCGGCTCCTGCGGGTTCTCGGTTGGAACCCGTCGACATGGCACATGCCCCGGAGTATCCGGCCGCCGGCTCGGAGCACGCGGGCAGCACCACGGAGCGTGGCCGCGCGTAGCCGGCCGCTCGCCGGGGCCTGCTGCACGCTATAGGCTGCTCGACCGTATCCCCCGGCGCGCAAGGGAGCCTCCTTGGGCCGCCGCCATGTTGGCCTGCCGTTTTGCCTGCTGCGGCCGCCGGGCACTGCGGCGCGCGCGCGAGCTAAGGGAGAGAGGGGACAACCCTATTGATCCGCAACGCCCCGTTGCGCGCGAGGGGAAGCGGTGGGGGGAATGTGGCACCACGGCGCTCTCTGGTGCCTCGAGCATGCGCACTGCGCGCTCAAGTCGATGGTAGCGACCCGTCGCGGCTTTTGGGTGCAACAACGCAATCGGAGGTGCCCCCCATCGGTATGTGGCAACGGGCCGGCTTCGCGCTCCGCAGCAAGGCGCTAGGGTTCAAGGGCGTGTGTCCGAGACTCCCTCACTGTCACCATACGCCTCCTTTGCCCTCTCCCGATTCGGACAGAATGAGCCCCAAGGAGACCCAAAAAGAGCACGTTTTACGCCTAAGGTGTCACCTGATTGCGATATTCACGCGCACCCATGACGCGGGCAATCAGTGCGTAAGATATTCAGTGAAGTTGGCTCTCTCACTCACTGGTCAAAATATTATTAGATCAGGGCTGTTAAAAATTTACAACTGATTTGTAACGACACGCATTTTCCAATCAGGACACCTAAAATAAATCTTTTATCACCTGGTATAAGGTACTGTTATTTTTGTTGTTGTTGTCAATGTTTGTATTTGTAATGTCTTTTTTATGTTGGTGCCATATGGTCACTTCTGATCTTGTCAGTACTGATACGGATCGCTACTTTATTGAAATTGATGACTATTGCTGGTACGCTCTTCAGCGGTGATGACCGATAATACCGGTCTACTCCCCACTCGTCCATAACAGGAACTAGGCAGGTCACCTTTCTTATTACTCACTGACCATGTATAAGAAGCTTTTTTATTTCATTGTACATGGTCAAGTCATGACGAGGTGATACACTATCACTGTCTGCACATAGTAATGCTAGGGTCTTGTCAGAAACGCCTATATCGTTACGCTCGAAAAGAAAGCACGCAGGTGGTTACTAGCTTAGGTTAGGTAGGTGCCTTCTTTCACTAAAACTGTGGCCTAATGGTGTCCATATTTATACGAATATGTGCAGCTGTAGGCGGTTCTTTTAGATGCGGAGCATCTTATACTCGCGCCTTGTAGTGCGCCGTCCGCGCCGTCCGCGCCGTCCGCACCGCTTCTCGAACATTCGACAGCTGACGCGCGCGCATGCGCCGTCGCGCCGTCGCCCACTCTTCCACCATCTGTGCATCCCTTCCTCCTCTACACACCGCGCGCGCTTCACTCCTCCACCATCTGTGCACCCTTCCTCCTCAACACACCGCGTTCGACATCTACAATTCTCCTGATTCTCCAGTGGACGCGCATGTGGCGTCGCGCTTCGAGAACATTCAACAGCTGACAGTGCATGCGCCGTCGTGCTGTATATATACTCAAGGTCGGCGCTCGCTCGCTCAGTTGCCGCTCGTCGGTTGGTTTGTACGGCGCGTCGACGTCCAAGGTCGCGGTGAAATGAATTCCAACGAATCCACAAACACAATGATCGACGTCCCTTCGACCAGCGCCGCCCTTTCGCATACGTGTGTACGTGTTCACTCATTTAACACCCCCTCCTACAACCACGTTAACCAATTTAGCCATCGACCCAAGTAAGTCGCAATTTAACACCCCATTTCACAACCACGTTAACCAATTTAGCCATCGACCCAAGTAAGTCGCACTTTAACACCCCGTTAACCAATTATATGGTCCGCATCCTCCTCAGTGTTCCCCCGAGGGAAGCTGCGGGCAATTTTTTTAAATATGAATGCATATCTTAGGCGGGCTATGTCAAGCATCCATCGGGATCCCTCTATCACCCTCTCCCATAGCAACAGCTGCTGCCCGCGTGCTTCTCGCCCCTAGCAACCGGAGCATGTGGTGCGAGAGAGTGTAGGAGAGGGTCGGTGCAGTGCTTCACCGCTCTCCTCCCTGCACCCCACTTTCCTAGACGCTGCACCGTGCTCTCAAACGGGCTACAGAAATTAGGCGTCTTTTTTTTTCTAATCACAACCACCACCACCACTTTCCCCTCCGCTGACGCCTCACTTTCGACCATTCGCTGGCTGGGCGCCTCTGAAATTATCTTTTCTTTTTCAACAATAAATGTTTTCCTATATATCTCTCACAAGAATATCAGGAAATGTGTGCTCGAGACGCCGCTGTGAAACGCCAACGCCGAGCCGAGAACGCCGTTGTTCACTTCATAGTATTTTTTAACCGTGCAAGCCGTACTAGAGCTGGAAACGCATACCGCGTTTCTCGCGACAGAAAAAAAAAACACCTCGTGCGGCGAACGGCGCTATTGGCTGCATAGTGTAAGAAAAAAAAAACATCATTCTTTTTACCCTGGGTTCTTACGTGTGAAATGCCGTTATGAACGCTACTCAATGCATTCGCATTCCCTCACGATTCCCTTCGGGGAGGCGGGAGCATTTTTGTGTTTGTGTGTGTGTTTGTAAGTGCTCCTTATTTTTTAGGAGTTTAAATTGCTTTCCAGGATTTCTTAGCTTGCGTGAGCAGTAAAATGTTAAGATCAAACATCATACGTTACATCATACTGCTAGATATGTGTGTTCTGCAAACTTACCATGTTTCAAGGGAACTTGCGTTCCCAATTCCAGGATCTGTTTTGTAAATTGTGAACGTTTACAATGTGGTATTTTCACACTAATACATAATGACAATCTTGCAATATATTAAAAGAGGAAAATACACAATGGCTCACGAATACATGCATACTTTTAAAAAATTCTTTGTCTTTCAGGAAATGCGCTTATGTGAAATCAACTGCTAAAAATCTAAAAGAAAGCCATATGTAAAATCCACTGCTAAAAACCTAAAAGAAAGCCGTGCGAAAAACGTGTATTCTCGGCACAAATCAAAACTCACATTTCGGTGATTCCGGCGGGCTAGCAAGCTCTCGATTGTTATTATCTCGGCTTCAACAAATTTTTACCCTTACAGCGATCCATTTTCTCTCGTACTTTTTTTTCTCGCGCCTATCACAAAATAAGTATAACAGCGTGATGCGCACCGAATTGGATGTTTACATTCTGCGTTTGCTTCCGTTCGAGCGCGAATTTTATTTCTGGATCATATATCGTTCTCATAGCAAAGTCAATATCGGGGTTTGCAGGAGGTTACATTCTTTCTTCTTTAACGGTTTGTTCAGCCACTGTGCCTCCCTACTTGTAAGTATTCGCGGCTCATTATGCTTTAATTATCCTCCTGCAGAAACCGGTGGTCGTAATGAATGCAGCACAAAGGCATTGCCGGTATCTGCCTTCCCTAGAAAAGCCCCATTGAGCCTCAAGGCTTCTTTTTTTTCTGACTCCTCTCTTTCACTGACTTTCTTTTTCGTGTGAACTTTATAATGGGCGTGCCTTACACTCTTATATGCTCATGAACTCCCAAGGGCACGATTTTTTATTTGCTTACTTTTTTTTCAATTTCGTGCAGCTTGTACAGGGTCGGGAACACTTCGCCAAGTGATTAGCTCAAGTAAATAGCCAGTTTTACCTTTCATTTGCTTTTTTCTACGTCTGAATGCCTTCTCAGCTTTGTGCGCAATCCTATATAGAGCGCATAGATGATTGGAGCTTATCGGTGAGAACCGCAGCGGTATGTCGAAAATTTGTCGAGGACGTTTTGCTTTGATGATGCATTGTAGGATGCGAACGAAAACAACTGCTCTCGGTGTACAACACACGAAAGTCCCTCAGTGGTAGCTGTTTTGAAGTGGTTATCGCATCCTTTTTGTTAAAAAGATGAGCTTGTCAAAGAGTTTCATTCAGACTGCAGTTATCGTCAACTCAACAATCCGCAGCGCTTAGATTACCAACCAGCTGTTCTATCCTTGTTTAAAATGATAGCGGGAAAAGTACACGATTTTTTTTTTCTTTGACCACGTGTTCTGTCAATAACAGACGTCAGAAAGAGGGTGTTACGTGAAGTTGTCGGCTTTAGCAATAGGCTACTAACAGTCGACTCCGTTGCTACTGATTTTGCAGAGTTGAACCAACAATCCAACATGAATAACGTGAAATACATCACCATATTATAAGTACTGATTCCGGCATGTCTGTGTGTAAGATGTTCAATAAATTCAATTTGCATGTGACGTACTTCTGACGTGTGGTGTTGAAGGATTGGCGGTCTACGACGTCTCTCATAGTCGTATGGTGGTTTTGGGACACTAACCCCCACATATCAATCAATCGAAGGATTGGCGGGTCTCAGAATACTCAGGCTAAAAATAAATAATCTCATCTTTTTCTCGTAGTTCTCCTACAGAGAATATTCAAAAGAAAAACTGTTGAACAAAAAGAATACAAAGCAGTGAAAATGTTATGAGATCTGTAACTGTTTCAGCGTAAACACCAAGAACAAATAATTTGTCTCGCTAAGTAGTGGCGAGGTATAAGATTCACGAAAAATGTGCAGCCTCTTCAAATCCTCCGGTATCCCACCTACAGCGTTACTCTGGGCAAAAATTATCTAAAACTCACAGCTCACTACTTAGGGCAGCACATGGCAGTGCAGGCCAATACTGAACACATAGAGCGGTGATATGCATGGCATACCTAACACCCGAGGCCCATAGGGCAGGAGTGGACGTCACATTACGCCACGCAGGCAGCACAACTTTGCAAACAGGGGCTAATGTAACAGGTGCTCCTAAATGCTGCCGCATATGACGCTCACACAAAGGCGTTGTGTAGTTGCTGATCACGGAGCCATTGGAGTTGCCTCCGTAAGTCCCCAACTGCACACTTTGTTCCCTTTGTGTCTTTCCAATTAGCCCCATTGTAATTTGTGCTCTAGTCATGCGCCTTCTCCAGCACTCTGCATATCATCGGCCCCGCATACTCCGCACGAAATGAAGCATTTGGTCCTTATACGTCGCGTAGTATAGTTACACATCGCGTGCCAGGGGTGTTTGAGAGGTGTGGCACAGTTTATAAGAATAAGCCA